GCGATTTAGAACCTTGGTTGTGAGCATGTAATAGGATTGTGGCAGTGACTAAAAGAATGTAGTTACCTTTCTTTGCTCTTTTCCTTCTCCTTTGGTAGTAGATACAAGCACCAAGTAGAGATGGCACTAGGAATGCTGACTGACTTATGCTGATACTGACTGTAATTGTTTTTCCTTTCCAACCTTCTAAAAACAAATGGTATAATTTTAGCCACTATTTAAATCATGCCCATTTTCATTCAATTTGTTTTAATGGAACATTTTTTGAAAGGAAAAAATATTCACTTTTTTTTTTGCATTTGGACCTTATCATATTATAAACAAAAGCTTTCATTCACAACATAAATAATGTGTAGAGTAATTAAAAAATTAACATTGAACTTTTTTTATCACAAACACATGTGGGTGGATCGTACTAGGAATAGAAACCACAAGCCCCAGCTGCGTGTGTTCAATCGTGAGTGGAATCGCACGAGCAGGGTGAATTTCCTTGCCGTAATCGCAGCAATTGGGGGGGGTGGAGAGGGGGGAAGGGGGATCAATTTTGCCTCATGAGTGGAATTGCACCAGCAAGGTGAATCTCCTTCCCGTAATCGCAGCAATTGTTGGGGGGGGGGATCGATTTTGCCTTAATCTTCACGATTGAGGCTTATAATGGTGGGTTGTGGTGAATGACAGTGTTTTGGGATGCCTTTTGGCGCCCAAAACAATTCTCCGTTATCTTACACAGACGTATATGAACGGGGGACACATTGAAACACGGATGAAACTCCGTAATTTAATTTGTCAAAATTGAAATACTAAGATTTAAAAATGTAAAACGCATGATACCTTAAGGTTTTTTTTTTTTTTTAAATTTTTTGATAACACACTAGTTACTAGTGGTTGTTGTGAGAATATAGAATATATTATTATGTGTTTTGTACAAATTAGAGTCCTATTAGAGGCATGATTGTGTTAGAGTCCTGTTAGAGACATAATTGCATTTGTATTTTCCTTTTTGGTTTAGGATTTAGGGCTATATAATCTAAGGTCTGATTGTAATCTTTGATACAATGGAATATACAGAAAAGCTTTCAGAAATCTTACATGGTATCAGAGCCGTGTACAAAACCCTAGTCCCATCAATTGTCGACTCCAGTTTTGGTCTCTTTGGTTCGACCTCTCTTGTGAGTGGTCCAGCACTGAATCTGATATGATTGTATTAGAATCGCATTTAGCACCTCTTTTCGCCGGAGTCGAGACCCAACCAGAGCCGGAATTGCAACTCGCGACTCACCCATTTGGTTTGCGATCAACCCCTCTGTGTTCGACTCTGCCTTACGTGATTAAAGCTCTGCATTCTTGTGTCTCGCGATTAGCCCCTCTGTGTTCGTCGCATCTGATACTCGCGACCCATCGAGTCATTTTGACTGATCTGCTTATTCGACCCATCTGGTTGCTTCGTTTGGTTCGGTTGATTCAAGAGACTGACAGCTCGTGGTCTCCTTATCTACCTATAAGTCACGATAAGTCTCTCTCTCTCCCTCTGTTGTTGTTTACGATTCCTCTCTCTTTGGTTCTGGTTTGTTGTTAGTTGACCTGGAAAAGCTTTTATTTACAGTTTGCCCCCTCAGATTTTGAGTATTACACTTAAACTCTTGGTTTGGCTATTTTGTTTGATTATACTTGAACCTATCAGTTTTCTGATTACTGTGATGTCTCTGGCTTCTGATGAGTGTGCTTTCTGCCATCAAAAAGGCGATTGGAAGTACCATTGTCCCAAGAAGAGATGTCTGTCTGCCACATCTTTTCAGCAGTCTCAGAATCAATTATGGGCTTCTCCCGCTACGTACACTACATTCGCTCCAGCTCTTGATCCTAACTTGGCTTCCTTAATTGCTCAGATTAGTCAGCTTCAGCATATATTGTCTACCTCCCAGCCATCCTCATTTGCCTCCATTGTTTCCTCTCTTCATTTAGGTTTGCTTGGTTCTTCTTCAGGTATTTCTTCGTCTGTTTGGATTTTTGACTCTGGTACTTCTCATCATATGACTCCCCATCTCTCCTTACTTCAAAATTGCACTCCTCCTCCCTTTCCTATTACTGTCAATGCTACTAATGGATCTGGTATGTCTGTTGTATCTGTTGGGTCTGTCCTACCGTCTGCTATGTCTGCTATCTCTATTCCATCTGTCCCTTATGTTCCTCAGTTATCTGTCAGTTTATTATCTATCAGTCAACTTGATGCCGCTGGTTTTGATGTTATCTTTTCTTCTGCTATCTGTTCTGTACAGGATCAAATGTCTAAGCAGCAGATTGGGATCGGCTGTAGAATTTGAGACCTCTATGTAGTAGAGAGCTTGCATCTACTTATAGCAACCTCTTTGACTGCCTTTTTCTATTTTCAGTTAGATTCTCTGTCTAGTCCTTTCTACTTATGGCATTATCGATTAGGGCATTTGTCCACTAAGCGCTTACGGTCTTTAGCTTAGTCAGGTATTTTGGGTAAAGTTTCTCCTAGTGAACTTACTGAATGTCGGGGGTGTAAACTTGCCAAAACGACAGCCTTACCTTTTTGTAAAAGTACTTCTATATGTGATACACCATTTTCTTTAGTTCATACTGATGTTTGGGGCCCTTCTCCTGTTCTCACCAAAGGGGTTTCTGCATACTATGTGTCATTTGTTGATGATGCACCCGTTACACTTGGGTTTATCTTATGACTCATAAGTCCGATTTCTATCAGATATACCGTACTTTTCAGTCTATGATTACTGCTCAGTTTGGGTCTACAATTAAAGTGTTATGGTCTGACTTGGGTGGGGAATATTTAAAAAATGAGTTTTGTGAGTATTTGGCCAATTTGGGTACCATTCACCAAACTTCCTGTACAGATACACCTGCCCAAAATGGTCGAGCCGAGCGTAAACACCATCATCTTCTTGAGACCGCTAGGTCTCTTCTTCTCTCTACCTCAGTTCTGGCTCTATTCTAGGGGGAGATAGTTCTTACTACTGCTTTTCTTTTCAACCGCATGCTTACTTCCCTTCTTTCTAGTCGGTCTCCTTATGAGGCTTTGTTCTCCTAAATTCTTAACTATTCCCTCCTTCGTGTGTTTGGGTCTGCCTGTTTTGTTCTTCTTCTCCGCAAAGATAGAACCAAATTTAGTGCCCGGTCTGTCCTCTGTGTCGTTTTGGGTTATAGTCCTACTCAGAAAGGTTATCGGTGTTACGACCCTGTTTCCCGTCGTCTTTATGTCTCCCGTCATGTTGTCTTTCTTGAACGTCTATCTTACTTCCAGCTTCCCCCTCTCACTGCTCCAGTTTCCAAAGAGGATTTGGTTCACATTGACCCATTTCCTTTTGAGGTCTCGTCTGATGAGTACATCTCCACTGTTCTCCCTAAGCTTGTTCCATCTTCTCCTCCTATACCTCTAGCTGCTTCTCCTTCTTCGGCTTCTTCTCCTCCTCCGTTGTTAGTTTATTCTCATCGCAAGGTTCCTCCCCCACCAGTTGTCTCTGCCCCTGCTGCTGCTCCCTCTACTTCTGACGACTCTGATCCTACTGCACACCGATATCCTTCTCGAGAACGTCATCCTCCAAACAGGTTGGGTTGGTCTAATACTTGTTTTTTTTGCTTCCTATCGTACCTTTTTGTCTGCTATTCACTCTTTTATAGAACCTCAGTCTTACAAGGAGGCTTGTCAGGATCCTCATTGGGTTCAAGCTGTGGAGGATGAGTTATCTGCTTTACAAAAAACTAGTACTTGGGAGTTGGTTCCTTTGCCTGCTGATAAGAACCTGGTTGGTTGCAAATGGGTCTATAAAGTCAAGACTCATTCTGATGGTTCTCTTGAGCATTACAAAGCTCGTCTGGTTGCCAAAGGTTTCTCTCAAGAGTATGGTATTGATTATGAGGAGACATTTGCTCCTGTTGCCAAAATGACTACTGTCCGTATTTTGATCTCGTGGGCTTAGGTTGTCTCTTTCTCTCATGTGGCTAAGCTTATAAATAGGCCAAGAGAGATACAAAAAGGCATCAATTAATCAATCATCAACCACTCACAAATCGCGAAGAATTATTTAGGAGGAGTTTAAGTTAGCCATTTTTAGGAGTAGCGTAAGTGATAGTTTTCCCACCTTTATTTCTCCTCTTTCTGTCGATTGCTATATTTATTCAATTCTTTGTTCTTATTTAAAGTTCTTGTAACTAGTGAGAAGTGATAATTTATTCGAAATAATATATATTTTGTTCTGTTCCATTTCTTCTTTATTTAATTACCTCCAAGGAAGTCCTTAATCTGTTTAAGGCATGGAATTCAACCCCAAAGCCTGATCTTCTTGTGTTTATTTAAAATTTATTTAAGTTTGTTGATCAATTACTGTCGATTGGGCTTAAACCAAATTTTTACCAACACTACCCATAGTGTATAGGTGTTTGGGTTGTGCCATGATCAAAGAGTGTTGAATAACAAGCAGGAGAGAGAAAAAATAGAGGAATCATAGTTCCTGATGAGGTAGAGAGAACAACTACAAGCATCATTCTTTTCCTTCCAACTTTTACATAAAAGCAGAAATTGTTGATAATCGTAACATTTTTAATTTAATACGTTTGTCACCAAAAACATAGACAACAATTGTGTTTTTTAAAATAGACCTTTCATTTTTTGGTGACAAACGTGATGAATTGAATATGCTACGATTATCAGATCGTCATAATTTTTTTTCCCGACTAATATACATGAAATGCCTAATAAAATGAATGGTTCGAATTATCAAAACAAAACCTGTGATGGAGCCAAGGATCCAAATAGGGCCCCTCAATCGGGATTAAGGATTGGAGGGGATCCACTCCCTATATTTTAATAGAGAAATGAATTGTCATTACTTTTAGCATTGGACTAGTACAAACCACTTTTCCCATTGGTCACAACTATATGAATTATTATATAAATTATTTCACTTTACAATCACAGCACACAACAAAAATCACAGTAAGTGACAACATTTTAGCATTCACTACAATGATATGCCAGAAACAGTGACTTGATTTTTTACAGAAGGATCTGTGGATGAAGATGGTTCGATATGAGCAACCCTGCCAACAGAAAATGCAGGTTGATTTGGTTCAGGAAGTGTTGCTGATTCACTTCCCAATAGAACCACCACAGATGACATATTTGGTCTATCTTTCAGATCTTCTTGGACACATAGAAGCCCAATATGGATACATGTTACAACTTCTGCCACGGGGCATGACCCCGCCAACAATGGATCTAAAAATTCTAGTTCTTTTCCATCGCTCCATAGTCTCAATGCCTATAAAATCACATTGTTTTAATTTGAATGAGTAGTTGTCACATTCTAGTTATTTGAGTATTTGTAGTTAGAGAGGGGGTTGAAAACACATACATAAGCAAGGAGTGTCTGAGCATGTTCTGTAAGGTAAAAGCCGCTGTTTCTTTGCCCACTAATGATCTCGAGCAAGATCACTCCGTAACTGAAAACATCAGATTTTACAGAGAATAATCCACACATTGCATACTCGGGAGCCATGTATCCACTGTATCAAATATGATCATTATTTTATCTTCTTTTCAATTAAAATATATAGTTTTAGTGAAAGATAAAAGAAAGAGCAAGGGTTTAAATAGCAATGGGTCACAATTGGTATTGGTCGCGGTTGATATCAGGTGTAGCGAACAATACGTATTAAATCATCAACAGCCAAAATAGCTTTATAGAGCTTTATATATAGTAGTCATATCAACTTTTGAATCGATATGTATTGGGAGTTGGCTAATATGGGTGTAATTTTTATGAAAAATGTTTGAGAGCTCTAAATTGGGAGCACTAAAGGAGATCTAGAGAATGGGTCCTACTGACTGATGTGATGTTTTGGCCTTAACTTTTTTTTTTTTTTTTTGAATTTCCACCTCATTAGTGGTCCATTAGTGCTCCCAAATTAGTGGGATGTATCATTGTTGAATTTTTATTCATTGGTATTGGAAGGGCTGAAACCTAATATGTATCAACCAATATTTAAAACTATGAGAACGAATAGACATACTATGTTCCTACAACTCTTTTGGTGTTAGCTATATTTTGGTTTTCACCAAAAATTCTCGCCATTCCGAAATCTGATATCTTAGCCACCATTTCTTGGTCCAATAGAACATTATTAGGCTTTAGATCCCTGTGTATGATTTTAAGCCTCGAGTCTTCGTGCAAATAAATTAGTGCTCGAGCAATCCCAAGAATAATGTTCAGGCGTATATCCCAATGAAGTTTTGCACGCTTCTCTGAATCTGAAATTGTATATAAAATTAAAGCTACCTGAGATAATAATTTTTTGTTTATTTTCTTAGCTATACTGAGCTATAAGAAAGCCTACAAATAAAAGATACAAGAACAAACCAAATATGAAGAGATCAAGGCTTTTGTTGGGCATGTATTCATATATGAGCAACTTTTCTTCTCCCTCTATGCCACAACCCACAAGCCTCACAAGGTTTCTATGTTGAAGTTTTGCTATTAGTATGACTTCGTTCTTGAACTCCTCTAATCCTTGCCATGATTTCCTTGACAACCTTTTCACTGCTATTTCCTCGCCATCACACAAGATACCCTACAAATTTTAGTTAAATATTTATTGATCAAAAAGGATAAAGGACTATAAATTTGTATAATATCAATTGATATCATATGTATTGAGATTTTGGACAACTAATATATTAGCTGTTACGACTGTATCACTGATATAAATACGTGTCCCCGATACTATTGTTTAAAACCATCTGGAAGACAACGGGATTTATCAGATTAACAAGGAAAAAGTTGTTACCTTGTAAACAGTGCCGAACCCACCTTGTCCGAGCTTATTTGTATCAGAAAAGTTTCCTATGGCTGCCTTTATAGTAGCCAACTCCATGAAAGGCAGTTCCTGAGAATTGACAAATTGACCTTCTTGATTAATGTCAACACTAGGTGGGTTTGCCAATTCTCGTAACAATGTACTTTGGCTTTTTTCCTCATCTGCAGGGCAGCAGACTCTTCTGTTAATGGTAGTTATTTCATTGATATGGTGTGGTTTGGGCAGTTTGAGAGTAAAATTATAAACCAAATGGCGGATTGATGGATAACCAAATTACGGTATGGACGGTTTGGGGCGGATTGACGGATTGAAAAATATTCTTAACCAATTATCAAGCATTTGTGTAATATATAACACTAATTTACATAACATTTTTCATATACATAACACAGACTAATTTTTCATAATATTATTCATATATATAACTATTAATTGGTAACAAATTAAAAAAACTCTCTCATACTCATTTTTACTTCATATTTTATTAGAGGTTAAAAAAATATATATGTATTAACTATAGTGGAACGGAGCACTTTTTAAGGCAGATTATAAATTTTAATGTTTAATCCGGGGTTAGCTGATAGAACAGTGTGGATTGGTTCAGTTTTTATGGATTGGGCAGTATTTTACACAATCCTAGACATGGGAATGTAGCGTGTTGGTAATTAAGCATTTGGACAACAATAAGTCTCAAAATACATAAACAAAATTCAAAACCAGACACAGAAAATGCATGTTCTGTGTCTGATTTTGTGTTTGGTTTCTGTGTTTTTAAACTTGATGTTTTGTAAATTTACCCTTTTGTGTTCGATTGCTTCGCTGATGCCGAATAACACAACAACCAGCAGCAAGACCTGCGAGCACAAATGTTGTTGGACCGATAACTAGCATAGCCACCTTAATCTTCTTTCTGTTCCCTGTTTGTTTAGGAAAAAGATCTATGTATTCAATTTCAGTTCATATATTGTATACACTAACGACAATAAACATGTTTGGCAAATTCTTTTGGCGAAATTTTATTGAAAACACCCTGTTTAGGAATTTTTAAAAAAAATCTTTTTGGCCCAAAATTGAAACCATATGAGAGTTATTTGCGCAAAGTAGTCAAATGATTTTAGACAAACAATATGGTTTTCTTGTTTTCTTCAAGTATGGCAACAAGCAATAGCATAGACAAAGTAGCTATTTTAAATTCAATTTTCTTACCATTGACAGTAGGTTCGTTGTAAAGCAGGTATAGCTGAAACTTCATGTTGCAGTTTCTGCTTAAAACAGTACCGCCTTGGCGATACTCAAGGTCTCCAAATTCAGAATTCAAACAAACTCTACAGTCCCTTCGAGATATGTCTCTTGTGCACTGTACAAGCCCATAAATCGTTTCATTCATCGAAATTTTGGTTTTACCAGTAGCAAACATGAGGTTAGAAGGATTGAATGCAGCTTGATCGGAGAGTTTATTCATGAAATCCTTCAAAACTACAACAAAACCAACGCTGTCTGATATATTTTTCTCATATTTATTCGAGTCAAGATACATTCTAGTATAGCTGTCCCAGGAATAGAAAGGCCGGTATGAGTACCAAACTTGACAGAATTCATGCCATATAATTGCATTCTGGGTTGGACACACTGTCATGATCTCCTGGCTTGCATTCTGAACCAGCCCATTTCAAGGCTTATTTTTCTCATCTTTATTTACTAAATGGGCTGGTTCCCACTGTCAAGATAAGCCTTGGATTGAAAAAGTCCATCAACAAATTAACTAGTAGGGTACTAATACAGAGGCCTCGTTTAGGAACCAGCCCATTTAGTCAAAAAGTCAAAAAGTTGCTAAAAAAAGCCAAAAAGCCAACAACCCATACCAAAAAGTGAAAGATTCTCTTTTCTCTCTACTTTTTGCATAGCTTTTCGTAGAAAGTCAAAAAGTCATTCCAAACATACTAATTTTTTTTAGCTCATATTTTAGCCAAATAGCTAAAAAGTTACTAAATTAGCCTGTTCCCAAACGAGGCCTGAGAATTGGTTCAGTTAGGAAGCGCCGATACGGATACAGGATATAGATACGGTACAATACAGATACGGCAATACAATAAAATCTAAAAAAATAGGATATAGATATAGTGAGAATACGTTTTGTAAAAAATATATTTTTGTAATTTTTTCGAGCATGAGTTCTTTTATTTACTTAATATCAAATGTTTATTCAGAACATATCAAATCCTAAAGCAAGCTAATAAAAACAATTATATTAATTCAGAATATCAATGTCAATTTTTGTCTGTTCCTCTTCATGTGAGACTGGCATAGAGGTATTTTTGTGAAGATAAAGGTAGAAAGAAAAAAAAAAGAAAGAGACATGATCGACCTTTGGAGATCGATGATGTTGTTTCATTTTAGTTTTTTATTTTATAGAGGCTAAGGTTCCTTCATTTGTACTTCGTTTGATCATTTCGTAAGTGCTTAAAAAGTGGCATATGTTTGGTATTTTTTACTTGTATTAAACTTTATAATTTTACAATTTGACCTCTATTAAAATCCGTAACAAAATTATGTTTCCGCCCCCTGCCATATCCCGAACATATCGTTCCCGTATCTTGACTGTATCCATCTCGTATCCAAGACGTATCCAAAATTAAAAAAATAAAAAAATTATTTTCAGATACTCTTTAGTCGTATCCGATATGTATCCGGCCATATCAGACGCATGTCCGTATCTCTGAAAAGTATTCCATACTTGACCTTTTTTAGAGTATCCATGCTTCATAATGGTTCAGTGGCTTGGTTTTTCAATTGCATTTTTAGAAGTCATTATCTATGGGGCAGTTAGCCAGAACTCAAAATTCTTACAGGAAATTAAGAATTATTACGCATCAGTTAGCTTGGTTGAGCCAACAAAAGAAAAAATAGAAAAATTACATATAATGAAGAGAGAGAGAAAGAGCAAAACAAAACAAAACAAAATAAAGCAAAACAAACAAAATCTGGGTTCGACTTGGAATGGTGTAAGTCAAAATATTTCAAAAAATATTACAAAGAGTTGAGTTGAGATAAGTAATAGTTGTAAGAATTTTTCCTGAATATGGCTTAATGTGGCTTATGCATGATTATACTAGATTCATCTCATTAAGTAAGATACATGTACATCAATTAGATGGTGACTAATCATTGATGAATGCACCTACATATACAATGTATAGAAGACTAATACTACTGCACATTGAATGTGATGGATTCATTATGAATGAATCTTAGAGATGCACATTGAACGTGATGGATTCATTATGAATGAATCTTAGAGATGCATTATGTATCTATTATGAATATGTAAGATACATTAATCTATCTAATGAATTCATTAATATAGAAGATGCATTATGTATCATGAATGTATAAGATACATTAATTTATTTAATGAAGTTCATTGAATGAATGGATTATTTGATGGGAAGAATACTAGTATAAATAGTGTAAGGTCCCAAACCACACTCTCCATCAAAAAACTCAAGTTGTCACCACAAGAAGGCTCCCATTGCCTAGAGAGAGAGAAGTGGTTTGAAGATCTTAGACAAGTCAAGAACTTAAAGATCAAGGTCTTCCATTCAAGGTTTCTCCTTCTTGCAAGAGGATTTCATACTATCGTGGATCAAGGTATGTATTTACTTAAGTTGTATAGTATAAACTCATATAGTTTTCATGTATAGAATTGAATCCTTAATGTTTTTAGTTTATGTTCCGCAAAGTTTTCTATCAATTGGTATCAGAGCCATGGTTCTCAATTCTGATGCATGAAACATATAAGTATGAATTTCATTTTTATGATGATGTTTGGTGTAACAAGTGCAAAACCTTGATTTACATTTGTCCAATTTTATTTTTATTTTTGGCCAATCTTTTATTCTATTGATATTAAAATAAAAATTGAAAATTATTGAACAAGTGGTAATTAAGATAATGTTTTATGCACTTATAATGTTTTGTTACACACCTTATGAGTTGAAACATTGTTGATCAGCCCAACAGAGGTTCAACACTATGTATGTTTGAACAACCGAGATGATTAGTATAATAAATATAGCAATAAGTTTTTCTACCCAACGGTGATAAACTTCTCACTTGCTTTAGTTAATAAAATAAAATAAGAGACATTTGAGTTTTTCTGCCCAACGGTGATAAACTCGTTACGGTCTTAATGATTATTTTATTTTATTTTATGTTGTTTATTTTTATTAGTCATCTCATTTACTTTTATGAATTGTTAAAATATATTGTTATTCGGCCCAACGGAAGGATACCTTGTTTTCGTATCTAACTAATTATGTTTTATAGTTAGATATATTTAACTTGTGGTGTTATTTTTATGAGATGTGAAAAGTATTTTTCTTGATTATATTATGTAATGGATATTATGTGGTTGCAGCATTGAATCCTACTGCCATTAATAGTTACTTGTCTGGTATTGACGCTTTGAGTGGAACTAATTTTAAGAAATGGAAGGAACAAATTGGAATTGTTTTGGGAATTATGGATTTAGACTATGCATTAAGAGAGCCAGCTCTTACAAAGCCTAATGATACAAGTTCTAAGGAACACATGGCTTTATATGAAAAATGGGAACGCTTTAATCGCTTAAGTCTAATGATTATGAAAGGCTCAATTACGCCTACAATTCAAGGAGCAATCCCTGTTTCTGAAAGTGCAGTGAGCTATATGAAATCTATTAAAGAACAATTCATTGGAACTTCCAAATCCCTTGCTAGTACTCTCATGATTAAAATCATGACAATGAAATATGATGGTTTGAGTGGTGTTCATGAACATATCTTAAAGATGAATGACATGGCCTCTCAATTAAAGGGAATGGACATGAAAATTTTTGAAGGTTTTCTTGTTCATTTCATTATGACTTCTCTTCCTGCGCAATTTGGTCCTTTTAAGATCAATTATGATACGCAGAAAGATAAGTGGAAGATGAGTGAGTTAATTGCCATGTGTGTTTAAGAAGAAGACAGGCTTAAAGCTGAAAAGCCTGATATGGCTCACCTTACCACTTTGGGTCCAACCAAAAAGATTTTGAAGAAAGGAAAAAGTAAGAAGAAGAAGAATGCAAATGATGAAACTCACAAGGCTAATGAAGAAAATAAGATTCGATGCCATTTCTGTCGAAAGAAAGGTCACATGAGAAAGGACTGTCCAGGTTTTAAAAGTTGGTTGGACAAGAACGGTAACACTCAATGCTTTGTGTCTTATGAATCCCTTTTGGTAGATGTTCCACCAAATTCTTGGTGGATTGACACTGGTGCAAGTATTCACATAACAAATTCCATGCAGGGATACCTTACAAGTCGGAAACTAAATAAACGAGAACGAATCATAACGGTTGGGAATGGAATAGAAGTGGACGCTGAGGCTATTGGCACCCTCCGTCTAATTTTAGACTTTGGTTTCACTTAAGATTTAGTAAACACAGTTTATGTTCATGTTTTTACTAGAAACCTAATTTCTGTTTCACAACTTGATTCCTATGGTTATGAATTTAAGTTTAGAAATAATAGAGTCTCTTTATTCCACAATTCTCATGTGATTGGTTCTAGTACTTTATATGGTAATCTTTATTCATTGAATTTAGATTCCACTTATGCACAATCTCTTTTATCCTTTAATGTAACCGACTTGGTAAATAAAAAGAGAAAGCGAGTGAATGAATATTCATCCATGTTGTGGCATAAGCGTTTGGGCCACATATCAAGAGAAAGGATGGAACGTCTTATTAAAGACGAAATTTTAAGTTCACTTGATTTTTCTGATTTTAGTACTTGTGTGAATTGCATTAAAGGAAAATACATAAAGACAAAGAAAAAGGGTTTTACTTGACTTGACTTGATAGGGCTCCTTCACCAGGATCAATAGCCCAGCTACACTACCACTACCCGTGAGATAGAAGTAGGGCACTTCACTCACCTCAGAGTGAGTGAGGTGATTACAGAAAAGTAGTGTAGTCCGCACTACCTATCTGTAATCAGTTTAGCTTAGAGTTGTTTGCTGACACACGCTACTATCACTCTGGTTGCTGCTTTCACTCGGATTCTCCTCGGGCGGATCAAGGCATATTGGCTTGGCTTGCGAAAGAACTGATAGTTACTGGATGGTTGGTTGACAGGTGTCTGGCTAGCAAAGAACCCGACAAAAACTAGTACAGTAGCGCCCTAGGCTATTTGATATAGTATAGCCGCGGAGACTACTTGCGTCAGGGGAAAGCCCCCTTTATGAGTAAGCCCCTTTAGAGATAGGAAAACGGCCTAGCTGCTTTATTGAGAGATTTCGGCACCATTGAGAATTCTTTAAATAATTAGCTGCTATTTCAGTGGTTGAAGTGCCGGTCGGCATTGCCTAAGTAACGTCCGGCTCTGCTTGCGCGCTTCTCTCCATCCGTTGAGTCGGTGGAAGGCTACTTGACCTAGCCTTCAGAGAAGAATCAAGTCAGAGAAGCCGGCGCAGCAAGCCGATCCGACATACGTTCAAACGCATGCACCTTTCGACTACTTCTCTCTCGGGGCGCGCCATCCAAACTCGCTGTGATGGATGAACGCGGATAGAACAAATCTATCTCGGCGTAGTGAGTAAGAAATTCCTGCCGTATTTCTTTCTTGATTGATTGTTTTATTGATTGATGTCTTTCTTTCTTTATGGAAAATCTCAAACCCATTTCTGAGACCCATAATATGAATTTATGAAAGATAGATAGAAAGACAAAGCTGCCTTGCGGGAGAGAGAGACCTGACGCATAGCCGGCGCACAAGATCCAATCTTTTTTGCAGTTCTTAGAGAAGTGAATTCCAAAACACCACAATTAAGCAAGCTAAAATAGCTTGCCTCACTTCCATGCATGCGATAGCTTGTCCCAACCAAAACTTGCCGCTTCTATCAATCAATGCACACAAATATGCTTGCTTGGACAGACACAAACATATGCTTGCCCCTACGTAACTAGAGCCCTGTAGGTCCAACACTCCTATATAGGGCTAGGTTTCAACACTATTCACTGGTAAGGCCCCACATGTAGCATTCCCGACGGCGGCTATCCCGAGCTAGCCATCCATAGTTGTCAGCCTCCCTTACCCCACAACCCTCACTTGTGACCCTCACTAAAATTCAATTCAATGAAAGGCAGACCCCATAGAAGTAAGCCTGAGCCAGCTCAGTGAAGACTTCTCAAATACCCTCCAGCCAGACCACAGAAACATAGAGAACAAAAAATTCGTGCTCAACCAACCCGTCTCAATCCATGTCAACCATCAACCAAGGCCCGCACCAGCTCTCATTACCATCCCACCACAACCTAGGCCAACACCAATTCCATCCATGCCCCTCTTCAACCTACCCCAACACCTATTCCCATTACCGCGCCTCCACAGAACCCTCAGAACCACGCACCGGCCACCATTACTATCCCTAAACCTTCACCTATTGTTATCTCAACCCCACCCCTTTCTATAAGTAAGGGAAGGTAAGGCTTTCAAAGGTGTCTTGGACATATGAAAGCAGGACGGTAGCATTGAAAGTGGAGAAGAAAGAGGGTGAAGAATGTGCTGAGATAGGAAATATGACTAG